ATCTATATCCATTCATATCTTTCTCTTGTCTTATTTCCATGGCTGTGGCTTCCAACACTATATTGAATAAGAGGGAGAGAGTGGGCATCTTGTCTTGTTCTAGCTTTTAGAAGACACAATGTTCTTAATTTTTCCTACTTCAATTAAGAGTATATCTGTAAGTGTGTTATATTCCATCTTTATTATATAGCGGTGTGACTCATCTATTAATTTCTTCAGGAATTTCATCATAACAATATGTTGAACTTTGAGGTGATTTCTTCCCCTAGGACTATTTATATGATTTTTTTAATTTATTGAACGGTATATGTTGAACCAACCCTGACTCCCTGAGTTAAAAACCAGTTTTTCTAATGCCTTCTTGAACAGAGTTTGAAAGTATTTTGTTTTGAAAATTTTTATCTATGCTCGTCAGCAAAATTGATCTGCCATTTCCCTACCATCCTAATTCCTTTCCGCCCTCCCCCTTCCTCTTTCCTTTCTTCCTTCATTGCTCCTTCCCCCTTTCCCTTTCTTCCTTCTTTACTTCCTTTTTTGCTCTTGTTTTATATCTTTATCAAGCTGTGGTATCCTGGTAATACAGCTTTATAGAATGCCTTTGGTGGTGTTCCTTCCCTTGGTATTTTGTGGGAGAGTATAAGAAGTATAGCTGTTAGATCTTACATACTTTACTAGAATTCAGCACTAAACCTGTCTCATCTTGGATGTTTCTTTGTGGGGAGATTTCTAACTATTATTTGAAACTTACTGTTTCTTATGGGTGTGTTGAAATTTTCTACATATCCTGGTGTTAATTTTGGTAGTTTGTATAAGTTTAGACATTTATCCTTTTTTTTCTTCTAGATTTTCAGATATAAGTTTTTAAAGTATTCCCTAATGATCTGGAATTCACCAGCAGTAGAAAGAGGAGTAGGTGAGAGTGAGACTGGGAGAAGAGGAGAGAGAGGGGTGTAAAGTGAATGAATGAATGAATGAATGAATGAATGACATTTTTAAAAAGGCTTGCTTTGTAGCCTATGATGTATATGTTAAAGTTTAGAGAAAGTGCCATATACTGTTGAAAAGAAAGTATATCCCCTGCCCTATAGATGTCATAGTCTGCAGATATCCCATTGATCTGTGACTTTCTTTTCTAAGTTTTAGTTTAGAAAATCTAAATATGGGAGTAAGATAGTAAAGTCTCCAAGCATCATTTTATCAGACACCATGTTATATTTTTACACCTTTGGTATTTGTTTTATAAAATTGGAAGTCCCAAGATTTAGCTAAATCTTAACATAAATCATTAACTAAATTTAACATAAATTTAGCTAAATCTTTAACATAATATTTACAATGTTATATCTTCTCAATGAATTGTTCTCTTTATTAAACTCTAATGGCCCTCTTCATCTCTTTCTGACTAGTTATGTTTTGAAATCTATTTTATGAGATTTAAGAAATGATGTGCCAGTTTATTTGCAGCTTCTCTTTGCCTGGCAGGTTATTTCCATCCATTGACTTTCAAGTTCTGGATGGCTTTACAATGTGTTTCTTGTAGACAGCAGACAGTTGGATATTGTTTTCTAATCTAGTCAGCTAGCCTATATTGCTTGGTGAATTAAGACCGCTTAGATTTAACATTGTTATTGAGAAGAGTTTGCTGTTTACTGTGATTTTGTTAGCTGATGTATAGGTTGGTTGGATTATTGGCATTTCTCTTCTTCTTCACTGGTTAGCATTAAAAGTTTACTGGTGTGGTGTATTGGACATAATTGATTCCTTCTCGACTTGTCTCTGTTTATTTGTTTCTCTCTTGTAATATAGTGCTTCCTGTGTTCTCCTGAATGGGAATGTCTTCTTTCCTACTCCCTGTACATTATTCTTTTAATATGTTTTCCGCAAAGCTGATTTATTTAGCATGAATTGTCTTAATTTGTGATTGTCTTGAAATGTTAATTTTTTTAACCAATGTTAAAAGACAACTTTGCCAGGTACAGTGATCTTGGCGGGCATTACTTTCCTGGCCTGGCATATCATGCTTTGCTTTTAAGGTAGCTGATGAAAGGCAGGATGTAATTCTTGCATTTCTACCTTTGCATATGAGCTAGCAGTTTTTCCATATATGCTTTTAATATTGTTGCTTTTCTTTTTTTGGCACATTATCTATATGTCTTAGCTTGGGTTTTATTGCTGTGAGGAGATACCATGACCATAGCTACTCTTATAAAGAAAAACAATACTGAAAACCAGGTGGGCAAATTCCAAACTATATCTCCATGTCTGATATCAAAACACTTTTCAGCTTTCCAACTCCTTTCAGGTTTGTTGACTGTAACAGCCTTCTCTCTTTTGGCCTATTTCGACTCCTTGTTAATAGCTTCCCTTGGCTGCTATCCTATGGTTCTGAAACCTCCTACATCTTAGAGACCCCAAGGCAATCCAGGCTTCACCTTCACAGCTTCACACCACGTCCTCTCTAAGCATCCATGTAGGGACACTCTTAATTCATGCCTCACAATTCAATCAGGGTTATATAGGTTATTTCTAGGGGCTATATAGTGTATATATATTTGAGGTTGTTTTATAAAGAATCTTCAAGAATTTTTTGATGCTGTATTTTACATACAATTTTGTTGCACAATTTCTAAAGAGATATTGCTTCCCCCATGATAGGCAGAAAATGATTTAAGTGCAATGGTCATAGGGACTCTATTTTGGGAATTGGCTTGTCTTGAATTTATAGGGCTCTGCTTACCTCTAACTCTTGAGTACTAGTATTAAACAAAACCTGACTCTTATTTCTAAGTACCATGCACATTTCAAAATAGGAACCTCTGTGTGTGTGTGTGTGTGTGTGTGTGTGTGTGTGTGTGTGTGTAAATTTCAGAGAAGGCTTATCTGGAATCAAATAAAAACTAGGGTAGAGAAAAGTGTTGTAGTTACTATTGTCAACATCTAATGTTCGTGAAGTTGTTCATTCCTTTTACTTCTCATCGGCTGGTCTTATACATTTGTTGAGTACCAGTGAAACTAGCCTGATCATCATAAAGTCTTGTGAAAGGAAGCAGTGTGCTCCCATCATGACTCTTCACAGAGAATTGACTGAGTTTATTTGTGGAGAGAGGGTACAGACACTAGGCTATATATGGACCGTTAGATCCAGAGTCTGGATCTATAATTATTTGGAAACCCCACCACTACCATCAAGCAAAAGTCATACATATATTGCTACCCAATATTCCTCTTGCCATGAAAAACTATCTGGAATTTTTGATAAGCTTCATGAATGTCAGGAAGAATGTGGCTTCAAAGCACAACCTGGTGAAAATCCTTTCTAGGTGGCATGATCTAGAACTTTCTTTTATAATATCCTTTGTAGTTTGAATAAATCACCATGCATCACACTCATTTTTCCTAGCAGAGGCTAGCCCCTCCTTCCCCCCCTTCCTCCTCCTTCTTCCTCACCAGATATCCTCTCAGAAACAAAGGTTGAAATTTATAAGAAATCCTATTAAAATGTTTTTAATATTTACCTAGTTGCTTTTTCTAAGTAACTAAAATCTTCTATTTATATTTTAAGATCAGTAAAAAAAAAGTCCTATTTAAATTGAATAACCTTTCATAGTGTTATATTAAAGGACTATTTTAACCCTCCCTATAAAACATTTATATACCAAAGTAAATAGTAGGATCAGTAGCCTTTTAACAGCATTAGTCCTGTTTTCCTTTAAATAACATAAAATCCCCTCAAAACCAGTCACCCAGATTCCCCCCATCAGCCCCGAAGCCCTCAGTTTTCCTTCTTCCACTGATCTGTATTGAATTGCATCCCTTTCATTGACTCACACCTCAAAGAACCTCTCTGGGCGGTGAGGATGTTACCCCCTTTACCTTTAGAAGAGTTCAGGGCCAACAAAAGAAATTGGCAAAGGAATGAGAAAGCACCATACAAGCCAAGGTGGTGGAATGAAGTTCTATAATCTGTCCAAATGCACAGATTCTTGTGGTTTGGCCCTTTGGCTCCCAGCAATGAGTAGAGAGCACTACTCCTGCAATAAATCCATCCATGGAGTTTGAATGCAGATTTCATGCTCTGTGTTATCCATGAGGTAACTTTAACCCATCTCCATCCAAGCGTCTAGGGTCAGACTCCAGAGTGGAATTAATCACTGCACTCTGTATGCCTTTTAGGTCAATATTAGGATTCCCAAAGTTGGGCACCATTGTACTGTCTCAGTCCTTCCTCCCCATCTCCTCAATTCTCCCAATATTGTCCTACCTTCCATGAATTCACACATCTTCCGGCATTCTTTCTATGTTGTCAATAGCCATTGCAAGAAATCTCTCTGAAGCTGAATCTTAAACACAGTGAGAACATTTTTAAGTGACAGAATAACTAAATCGCTCCAATCTCTCTAACAATGTGCCAGAGATTCTCCATCTACTAGGACATCACTTTTCTCTTGTAGAGCTAGAGGAATGTCCATCCCTGTCATAACCATGTGAAATATTACAGCAGGGTCCTCCTGTTGCCCTTAGCTCAGGATATGCAATGTAGGAAAGAGTGTGGTACATCTCCTTCCTGTGGGCTATGTCAGAGACAATGTAATGACACAGAAACATGACATCCATAAAATGAGTTACTACAAATATACTTCTGACATAGCCATGGAAGGTATATGTTTAGGACAGAAAAAAAATATGTCTCTAAAATATTTAGTAAGTTGAAAGCTCTGTCTTGTAAAAATACTTGAGACTTCTCACAGAAGTCTGGAATTCCTAGAAGTCTCTACTTATCAAGAGTTCTGGAACTCTGACATATCATGTTGGGAATTCTGCCTGCTCTATTTGCAGTAGATGCTTACAACGTAGCTCCAAGGTGTGTTTGTTGCAGTCACATTTACTCATTAGCGGTACACCGTCGTGGAAGATTGCAGAAAGGAAACCAGCTTCCTTATGAAAGGGTGTTCTCTTGGAGACCACAGTGAGGATCCATAACATGTTCATTTGCTTTTCAGGAATGTAAGTTCAGCTGGAGAGGAGGCCCGCCGAAGGATGCGGGAGTGTGACGGGCTCACGGATGCCTTGCTGTACGTGATTCAGTCTGCACTGGGAAGCAGTGAGATCGATAGCAAGGTTGGTGATGTTTGCATAGCTCCAGTTTCTTACCAGTTAAAGGGACGCCAGAGATTAAACAACAGCTAGCAGCCATGGGAAGTGACCATGGTATTTCATGCTTGTGTTCTGAACCCTATTCTTAGAAACTCAAACATTGTCTAAAAGGTATGCTCACTGTAGCTGAGAACCAGCACTTGAATTTTCTACCAGCAGTAAGTGAAAATTCAGATTGATATAAGTAACTCAAACCATTGGTGTCCAAGATGAGTGTAAGCTATCACACAGCACTTCAGCTTCCAGATTGCACATTTAGTGTATGTATACGTATATACTTTTAAAGATAAAGATACTGAAGTTCTCTGAGATTTGAACAATTATACTTTCTTAAGGGGTGTTTTAAAATCTTACAAAATCTTTCCTAAATTTTCAGAATGTTTAATCAAAGCTTCCAGCATGCTATGGCTCAAAGGCACTGTGCTGTGTTAGTTCATAGACTCAAAGAGAATTAGGTATTGGGTTGTCTTTCCCAGTATTCGAGATATTTTGTTTGTCTTTATTATATTAGTTTTAGTTCACAACAGCTAGAAATTTGTAATCTTATAGTAATCCTGATATGAAGCCATATGTCACTTATACATTTAAAAATAATACATGCAAAATTGTCACTCTTTAATAAGGAATACTCCAGAGCTACTCTAATAGACATTTAGATCAGAGGAAGCCTATGTTCTGAGTGTGTGAATGGGCTTGTTAAGGACACTCCTGGCCTCTCTCCATCCATTCAATGCCAGTAGCTTTCCCTACACCCATCCACCAGAGCTCTCAACTCAAAGGGGATAAGAGAGATTTTACCATGAAGCCTGATTTGAGTGGCCATGGTCTGGGAACATGGGTTTAGGTTACTCAAAATTCCAATTTTACAACATGTAATTAGTTTCATGGAGGTTTTTTTCTTTTCACAATATTTTGTATGAGTTATTTGGGAATTTCACATCATAAACCATAATTATACTCACTTCCCAGTCTTCCCAGGTCCACCCTTCAACCCTTGCAACCTACTCCTTCCTCCAAAAAAGAAGAAGAAAAAAGGTCCAGTTTGTATTACCCACATTCTTACTAGATGAGAAAGGACATGGTTTTTCCTTAAGGGGTTGGCCACAGGGAGTTTTATGGAGCTTTTAAGGTAGTAAAATACAGAAATTTATAAAAACAGGGCTTTTAAAAGTAAATTCATAGGAAAATCAGAGGAGGTGGTTTACAATAAACTGGAAAACTTTGTTTTAGGTCCGGAATGCTCTTTGACGATACTCTTTCATCACTAGAAAGCTAGAGTTCTGTTAATACATTCCAAATCCATAAGGCATGACTAGTATGGAGGATATTAGTCTGATGGTACAAGGGGCCAAGAAGGTAAAGGATGCTTATTTAATATGTTAACTATCGCCCATAATAAATTGTACAGTCTCTGGATCTGTAACATTTCTAATAGTACGCAGTCTTTGAGGTTTTAGTCAGTCAGTCCCTGCAAACACATTCTCTTCAGGAATCCATAGCACCAAACAGCAGTGTCTCCAAGCATGGAAGATGTCTTGTGAGGAGCTCAGGTGACATGGCCATGAACACTTCCTTGATCCCATGCTTTCAGGTACTAACTCTTCATCAGAATTGCCTTTGGAACAACTGGTAAAGACACCTGATGAAACCGTATTATCCCTGCTGGAACCCCATCACCACCCTTCAAATCTAAATACCCAACCTTGGCCACAAGTATTTATCCCGTTATAAGTGAATCGTGATCTGTTGGTATTATGGATTAAAATCTTGGCTGCAAAGAGGGAGCTTTGAAATACACTACTTAGGAAGCGTGCATAAGATAACGTAGCTGTAATGTCAGATGGAAGACAAATGGGTGGGGCTCAGTCTTCATGGTGCTTGCTTACAGTCCTTGCAGGATGCCCTCCCTGTCTTCAAGCCCAGCATCACATACACTGGATATGGTAACACATGCCTGGAATTCCAACACTTGAGAAGTGAAGGCTGGAAGATCAGAAGTCCAAGGCCATTCTCAGCCATATTGAATTCAGTGTGAGCCTGGGCTATGTGAAACCCAGTCTCTCTCTCTCTCTCTCTCTCTCTCTCTCTCTCTCTCTCTCTCTCT